CACCTCCGCAGTGACGACACTCATCCGTAACGGTGACAGCCCCGACGAAGAGGGTCCAAGTGCAAACGAGCGCGACCGCTGGGACGCGTGGGACCAGAGAACAAGCGAGTGCCACGCAAGAATAATGAATTTCTAAACTCTGCATACACTAAGAGCCAGCAAAGCCCCTTCAGACACACCTAAGACGCAGGAATTACACGTCTGCTCCGTGCTCACTATTGTTTCAACAAAAGGCTTCCTGACGCAGGGCTGAAAGGTTGGCAAATGATCACCACGGCCTCTCTGTTTGCTAGCTCCTACAAAGGATCTTTAAGAAAAAGGCGTCAAGTTTCCTCCCATCTTCCCGTAAGAGAAAATGAACTGTTTTAATAAACCAGAGAGTCCTTCCTGCAGTCGAACTCACCAATGCCCCAAAGCTTATAGGAGTAACTTCCAAAGGAACATCCAAACCACAAATGCATGGCTGTACTTCTCCAGCATCGACCCAAACTGAAATCGCCGGCTTCACCGTATCTACCTGCCTTGCAAACAGACCCTGACAAGAAGCCTGAACAGACCCCAGCTATGTCTGCTGACAACCCAGCGTTTTACTCCATAAAACTTCACTTATTTCCTATCTGGAAAGAGGATTTTCACGCTTCTGTGCCCAGTTCACTGCTTTCCATGGCTCCTGCTGTATTCTTTGGGCTCAGTGGATAACTAAAGCAGCAAGCTTTCGAACACTAAAGTTCTGCTAAAGGATGCCAACGTGAATCAAACCCCAGACCCAAGTGCTTTTTGTCAGACAGTCCTCCAGATACCGTAAGATTATTTCAGAAGTCATGAGATCAAACCAAAAAACCAAGAACTCATCCCCAAAGCTCCCACAAAACATTTGTCTTTTATTAGCATGGTATTATGCTCATCTTCATCCTCTAGCTTCTCCAGGCTAGAGGAGAGCGAGTAACCCTTAATACATACTGTGAAAGCTCACAGAGGTAGTGGCAATGTCTAAACAGTTCCTCGCACTTAAATACTCCGGATCTGGCACGTGGAAGCTTGAGTAAAGAGTAGGAAGAAGAAGAAAGTGTCACTAAAACAGGCAAAAACTGAATGCGAAACTAATAAAATACTTTATCAGGTATGATCAAAGCTGGCATAAGGTTAAAAACGTTCAGTGGAACAGCTGGATGGGATATTCCTACACAGGACCAGAAAGGACATTTGAAATCCTCAGGTCAAGTAACCAGTTGGAAACTTCCCCATTTCTTCAGGGAAATACAGATAATTAAAGAATATGTTGTTTCGAGAAGTTCTGTTATGCATTTACTGGAATTTATACTGGAGGCAGTGTTATATGGAAAATATTTGCCTATACTTAGCATCGGTGTATTTGTCTGTTTTCTTGACTGTTAGGAGTCACAAACGCCGAGCAAACAGAGCAAATGAAAGCTTTCCCTTATTTATGTTGGAACAAGGGAATTATTTTCAGAATTTAAAGCCTCTTGCAAACATTTAAAATTAGCAGCAAGAATGTCAATGAATATACAGAGAAACTATAAAACCACGCGAAGCCCACGGCTGGCACGAACGGGGCATTTTGAACTGTCACGTGCAATTCCAGCCAGGTAAAGCCACTGCACCTCAGAAACCAGTTACAAAAACGAGAAGAAATGGGTATCGCTTAAAATTCACAAATTTCAGACATGTTAATATCCCAAACTCATCCAAGTTCCCCTTTACTTCGTTGGTTATGACTAGTTTGTGTTTCTTCTGCCCACGCAACATGGTCCAAATTTAGGT